TTGTGAAATTTAAGTTATGTTGGTATTGGGTTAACTAATTAAATTAGATAAGTAAAAATTAATTGCTAATATATATACAAAAAATATATATATAAACAAATTTATATTTTTTTTAATTTTATATGGATCCTCATGGTTCCTCACGGGGTGAAAAAAATTTCTCATGAAATTTTACGGGTAAAAAATTACTTTCATCCACGCTCTACAGGTAAGAATATTTTAAGAATCTTCATTTCCATAACGGGTATATCCGCGAAGCTCTGCAAATCGCAGAGAAAATTGCCATCCTTAAGGGGAAAACGCGTATTGGACTTAAAAAAAGAAAAAAAAGCTTCCCTACTCCGTTCAAAAACGCGTAGAATTAATAATAATTAAGAAAACGTGGAATGACCTACCGTTTCGACGATATTTGCAGGCAAAAGGTGCAGATCACCCCCTAAACTCAACAACTGGTGGCAAATCACCCCCTCAACCCACTTCACGCGCAAATCAACCCCTCAACTCACCTGCAGTGGCAAATCAGCCCCTCTCTTAACCCTTCCGTTAACATTTAACAGTTTGCTCATCAGCTCTTCCTCTGTGTCTGACGTGACCTTCTTTTTGCTGAGATGGATGCTGAGGTGGAGGCACAGCTTGACAAATACCTCAAAATCTGCAGATTACAAATCTGGTGATACAGGTAAACCTAGAGGAGGAGGAGATGGTGGTGTTGGAAAAGATTTTGATGGCTGAACGAGTTGGAAGACGAGTTAACTCAGCAGTTGCAGAGTCTAACTTGTTCGAGATGGAGTGCGTCCACGTTGGGAATTTAGTGGGTTGCTTGAGGCCGATGCTTCATGATCTGGTCGCCTACATCTCCGCTGCTTCTCCGCCCTTATACGACCGGCCAATCGTCCGCATAGTCATTGAAGTCTCCAAAAACCTTGAGCGGGCACTGACCCTGGTCTGGAAGTGCAAGCGATGCACCCTCTTTCGCCGGTTTGTCACCGGCAAGCACGCAACCGATTTTCCCAGAATCTTTGCACTTTTGGATTCTTCAATTGCCGATATGAACTAGTTGCTAAGCCTCTTCGACCCAAACATCGGCTGCACCTCTAGGGAACCTGACCTACCCGTGCCTCCAATCGCAATCAAAGATCTGGTTATTTCATGGGTCTGGGCGTTCATCGCCACCGTTGAAATGAGTCCACTAAAAAATCGCATCGAGGCCGCCGACAATCTTGCTAAAAAAAGGTTCAATTTTTAAAAGACGATGAGGGGAAGAAGATGATAGAAGCTGCCAAACAAAATAAAAGCCTAGATATCCTCAAAATATGGTAATTTGATAGACGATTCAAAGCTTGACAAAGAACCCCATGCTCGATGAATTGCAGATCTTGCTAAACAAAGACGAAGAAGGGAGGAAGACAAAGATGATACAAGCTGATCCCTAAATCCCAAAATCCCCAAATCCCCGATTTTATTCCCTAAACAACTTAAGGTATAAAAGTAATTTGTGTAATATGTTGATTTGGAGGTATTTGTCCAGCTGTGCCTCCACCTCAGCATCCATTTCAGCAAAAGGAAGGCCATGTCAAACACAGAGGAAGGGCTGATGAGCAGACTGTTAAATGTTAACGGAAAGGTTAAGAGAGGGGCT